ACCGCCCGATGAATCTCACCCCGTCAAGACGCGGTTTTGTATTCCCTTCCTCCTTCCTTTCCCGTTCTTTTCCTCCTTTTGCCATGTCGTTCTCTCTCGACGTTGTCCTCCCCCCTCCCCACCTTTTTTTTTTGGTTGTTTCCCACGGCATTTGTTAATACGGGAAGTCTTTCCGCCACCTGTTCCTATTCCCAGCGCTACGCCCCAAGGTTAAACGCGACCATCGCGCTTGCATGCGTGATGATGCACCGAATCCGCAGGGAAATGTTCCTTGCAACTCGCGCGCCACGAAACACGATCTCTCGTGAGCGCCGGGTATAACTAATTTCGACGTTATAAACAAGGTCAGCGGCGCAGCGACGGAGGATAATATCGTTAGGCCGAGCTGCATCACACCAGGATTATCGCGATTAATTATGTGCACCGGCTACGTGAACCCGGGCATACACAGGATTATTCTATGCGTACGTGTCGCTTACATTCGGATGTAGGTTGAACGCAACCGATCGTCACGATGAAAATTGCACAACTATCGGAAATTACACCTTTTAACGCCTCGGCTCGGCGGCAGCCTCCCCCCTCCCACCGAAAGGCTGACCGTTTCGCCCCGTGTCCTCCCTCCCGCCGCGTAAAGCATCGTGTTTCGCCTGCTCCCCTTGCCGGTCGAATTTTCGTCGTGCGAATAAACCCGAAGCTTTGCATTTAATTATATTTTCAAGTCTTCCGACAACGCGACGTAAAAAATATGTAACCATGTAAAAAATATAATTCACGGTCTCGATTCGTATCGCCGTGCGGGATGTAAAACAACAACAAATAAAATTCTAATTTACACATAAATCTTTCAATTTATACAAAATGATAGGCGATACTTGTGACTAGTCAGGAAAGAATTTCGTTATTTTTACGCCACTACAAAAAATGACGAAAGGATCGACGAACTTTAAGATCGTCATCTCCCCCCCCCCCCCTTCCCCTGTATCGAAACTTTACCGGCGACGTTCCTGGGATTTTCCGGTGCGACGAACTCGAATACATCCCTAAGACACGCAAGATCGCGGAAAGTTCGCGCGCAAAGTCTGCTAATTAATTCTTTCCCTTCAGCGATAGTCGCGGGCGTCGAGTTCTCCGACGGGCGCGGCGCGCAACTTCCGGGCGGAGGTTGTGCATTAAATTCGGCGATTCCGGCAGTTTGCCGTCTGCAGTTTACCGTCAGCTTTGGAGGGAAACTTTCGAAAACACGCAATATTATACTTCGCAACTCCTTTGGTGCGACGGGGCTGCGCTTCGCGCGTCCCGTAATTTTTCGTAGCGCGCGTATATCGGCGCGACGAGAGGCGATAATCAAGATTAACAAGTTCGAAACTCCGTAATTTGTCAGTGTCAGTATTCACGCTCGGCATCGTCGGCGGCGGATTATCGATAGCGGCGCTTGCACTTTCGATCGGCGGTGTGCGTGCAAGGTTAGAGTATTGGGTCGCGCAAGGTCGCATACAGACATTACGGAAAGTTATGCCGGTGGAGTGGCGGCGCGGCGGCCCGGAAATGCCGTCGTTAATCGTGACACTCGTCGTAGACCGATCGAACGATTATCGTTTCATTATCGAGAGAGCGCACTCTCGCGTGTAACGTCGATCATGTCTATCGAATGGATCGCTGGAGGGAAGTACCACGCGGTTCACGCTTCGGTCAACTTGATCGAAAGGACTACCGCGGATTTTCGAGTAAGGAATATTCCTTGACCGGCCCCCCCTCTCCCTCCTACCCCCCCCCCTCGAGGAAGACGCGCGAAACAACAAGACGAATATCGTGCGAACACCATAATGTTTCGGTTAACACGTTGCCAGCCCCGTTGATTTTCAGTGACCTTAAGGAGGTTCTAAAGCACAGTGTCGTATTTTCTATGGCGCATCAAGGAAGCCGCTCGTAAATTTAGTATTTATCAAGCAAAATTACGTTTCTTACAGGGGAAACGTATACCGAAAATTCTTGCAAAATATAATAATAATTTAGCGGTTTCAGAAAGCAAAAGATTATGAAGAAATTACGAACGAGGAGCACGTAATGTATGAAAGTAAGGAACCAATTACCGGAGCAATCAATAATGTAACTGTCTTACCTGGGAAATGCTTAAGATTTGCAATAAGAAATGTAACCGGTGAGAAGTAGCGAAGCTGTAAAATATTAGTTAGAAGCAATTACCGGCAAAGATATAATTCTCGGCAGCAGAACGCACGGAGGGAGGTAAGACGTTATAAAACTTCACAGCGGTGAAAGGCCGTACGAAACCTCGAAGCGCGATGCCGAAATACGTTGAAATAAAAAATGTGTCCATAAAACAGCACTTGCGAACGATTGAGCACATTTGTCGAATATTTGCCGAAAACTTTTCTCTTGCTCTAAAATCAACGAATAACTGTAAAATTAATGTAACGTGTAACCTTCCCTTTTGACTGATTTTTTTCTCACGATTTGTCACGTTTACCGTTATTTATTGATTGTCAAGGTAAAAGGAAAGCTTTCGCAATATTTTATACTCAATCGATCGCGAGTATTATTTTACACGTCCTTTCACTTCAATATATTCCGCAAAAATTTTCAATATACATTTCCTCGCTCCTTACGTTAGTTAAATAAGACGGCCACGGCGAGAAAACAGGAGCTTTAATGGTCAATTAAAGTCTGATTAAAAAAAAAAAGAAATACGAGAAATAAATGCAATTCGTGATGTGTACATCTGTTAGTTCGTTTCGTTGGCTGCATGTTGGCCCGCGTATGTAATTCGTTAAATGCAAATGATTACGTCCTGTACGTAAATCAATGTGAACGCGGGGATGTTACAGCGCAGATCACTGGTGACCACCATAGCAATCGACCGTGTTAATCACGGCTGCGAAGTGAGCGACGCGCGGTTGCGTCTTATCGCCGTTAATTACGTGGAATTACGTTCGTCGCTTAATCCGTTCGCATCGACTTCGAATCGCCTGGAAGACACTCGAGTACCGGTGGAATTCCGCGGAAAGTACGCTACTGCGAGTACATCGATCTCGATTCTTACGATTTTCAGATCAAAACCTGACGAATACTCACGAGTACTCGGCAACAACGGATCTTCGGGAAAACCGGGCTCGGCGCAATTATCTTTAACCCTGGAAAGGTCGAAGAGATCAGACTGATCCTCCAAGCCACTTTCACATTTGAGGTTTCTTTCTTCTCAACAGTTATGGGGATGTCTTTTCGCGACTTTTTTCAACTTTTCTCAAATATTAGACAGATTTATCGGAAGTAACCGTGCGCGCTCTGATTTTGGAGAAAAACGCAAAACAGCAGTCGAGTCAGTGAGATACCGAGTATATGTTGACTTGCAAGCAGGCAGTTGCATAACTGTTTTTGCCGTCTGTAATTAATGTAGGAAGTAATTTTTTCGTTTCTTCTAATTTTATTGTGTTCTAATAAATTAAATAAGAAAGCATTCAATTTAGTAGATAGGAGAATGACCAGTAAGAGGTTACGCACGGGTAGTGCAATGATAAAGAAACAATGTAAATTAATCCTTGAAGCGTGATATCAAGATGTCCCGATATAACGAAATAACTTTTATTTTTCGATCCTAGGTTAGATCTTTTTCAATGGTGGCGTCTGGGCGTAGCAAAATTCATTCGATCATATCGGAACATCTTGATATCACGCTTCAAGGATTAACTTACATTGTTTCTTTATTATTACACCACAACTCCCGTGCATAAGGTTCTTACTGGTTATGGCGTTCTGTTTGATCGTTCGTTTCCCTTTAATTATCGAAAGCCTTTTAAGAGCTTAATCGCAACTGTTGCAACGAGTAGAGAGCCTCAGAGGGAGAGGGCGGTGAACTAGATCACCGTGATTCCATCTCCTCTGATTGTTCGCAGACGCCAAAGCTCCTTGTGTTGATGGATAGGATGTACTTCATGGTTGCAAATGCATCGAAGCGCCGTATATTCTTTTTCAAGCGCTTCGAAACATTCGAAGCTTCAGATGGATCGTACCTGACGTGGGAATAAATTAAAGAAGTCCGTGGTTTAAGTTGAGGTTCGCTCATTGCCCTGCGATAATTCGCTCGCATTAAGCGATACATTATTAATGCACGCGTGATACACGATTAAAGTTCTCGAAGGAAGGAGATCAACAAACGCAAAGGAAGGTGTTGGGATTTGGCTGACCGCGGTGGCCTTTCGCGCTAGTTGGAAACGATCGATGGCCTTTCCAGGGTCGGTAAAATCGCCGGGCTCGATTAACCGCCGCGCTCATAAACGAAAGGTATCTCCGCGCGAACCTCGCGGGAATCTCGCGGAGAATGCACTTTGCACTTACCGATGCGAGCGGTTTAAGCTGCGGGGGCTCTTAGACTAACCCTCAGCGAGAGCGCGTTTTAATTATAAAAGAATCTTGGCACGATAGTTTCGCATCTCGCGGGCGCGATCGCTCCGCGCCAGGCCGTCGATCTGCACCGAGTGTGTGCTTGGTACTCCGCGTTCAGCTTATCTAGCCTAGATATTATTTTCGCTCCCTTCCATTTCCATCGAACCCTCGGGAAAAACAGGATGTCTCTCTCTCTCTCTCTCTCTCCTTCGGGCAAAGGGTGGCAACGTTGCACAGCGGACCTTCGTCTCAACCCCCGTTCCCTCGGGACAACCGAGATCACGCCGAGATGAGGAAGTGTCTTAGGCCGCGGCGAGGAGAGACGTGGTCGCTTCTCGTAGCCTCCCAGAGCCCGCGTTTCATTCGCTGCTCGGTTACGTTCGCGAGTCGAACGAATCCCGAGTGATCGGCGACGCATGCATCATTGTCGTCGTCGTGGTCGTCGCCTCAATGCACTGTCGTCTCCGGGGCGATCGCTGACGCTCACACGGGGGGGGG